GAGGTTAATCATGTGTGGAAAAAGTAATAAAAAAATATCATTTCATAAAAATATTAATAAAATAAGTCATAGTGATTAAAATATGAATACTTTTAAATTAAGTATTTAGATTAAAAAATTTAAATTTAAGTAATCAAAATAGAAGTAAAAAGATAATTGAGTGATGAATGATGTAGTTTATCCTATATAATTTAATAGAATTAACCTCTTCTTAGAGTATTCAACAGATAGGTGAAAGATTCTCATAGATTAAAGAAAATGGGTAAACTATGTATTTAATAACCCAACTATCATTTTAGTTCCATTTTGATCACCAAACTATTATTTTTTTTTAAATCACCAAACTGCTAACATGATAATTTTTTTATTTTATTTTCAATGATAATATGACATTATCTTGTGGTGACACATCAGAATCAACGCTAATGTTTTAACTGTGAGTGACCAAAACGAAATCAAAACGTAATATTAAATATGATTTTAAAAAAATAATAGTTGGGTGACCAAAAAGAAAACCAAAGTGATAGTTGAGTGACTAAATACGTAGTTTACCTAAGAAAAATTAATAAAAAACAATGCAATATTCTCACATTTTTTATTTAAAAATCGAAGTTACAAACAGATCAAATAAAGGGCTCTAACTGAAGACTTGAATTTTTTATTTTATTTTTATTAATCTAGAGTTAGTATAAGGCAATATGTGTTCGAACCCTTGATATTTTTAATGTTTAAATTTGGTATCTCAAAAAATAATAATAATTTTTTTACCACTGAAATTATTTGATTTGTGCATACGACTTCAATTTTTATATTCATTGAATCTATTCTAAATAAATTGCCATTCCCATTTTACATTTAAAAAAGTGGGCTAGAATTAGCCTAAAGTGAGTTTCAAAGTTGGGAGATATATAATATGCAACCCAAAATATCTTGCAGCCTTCTTTGTTGCTTCAAAATATCTTCCACGATTACTTTTGCTCCTTTCACTAATGGAGGAGGGCGCAAGATGTAATATTAGAAGTATATTAGAAGGGATAAATTTAAAAAAGTTTGAGTAGGGAAAAACTTATAAAATTTTTGGTTGGGAAACAAAAACATATTTTCAATAGAAATTTAAAACTCTAAGGCTGTCTTACCCACTCCCCTCTAGGTCTATCCCTACTTTCACTCTTCGTATTTTTTTAAACTTTTCTTAAAATTTCTTTATTCAAACTAAATTATAATCTTAAAATTCATAAAAAAAAATGAAATTTTGGGTTTCGGATTTGAATTTATTATATATTAAAATTTGAGTATGAATTTAATGGATACCTCACATTAAAAATAATAACCAAATTAAATTTTACGTTCACCTTTTTAACTCATTGATAAATTTTTTTACGATTTAATTTAATAAAATGTAAAGTATATGTAAGCTCTTTACATAACAGTATTAATATATTTTTATTTGGTTATAAATTTTGAATAAATTTAAATATTTATATAAAGAAAATAATAATATACAAATTTAAGTTTGATTATTTTTTTATTAAAAAAGAAAAAACATTGCCTCCAAAACAGTGGTCTAACAGTTAGATGCCACTTTCATCATCCGAAAATGATTGGAACAATTAACAAGTAAAAAGGGATAATTTTTGGATTCTATTTGAATATAAATTCAGCATCCATATATGATAATTTAATTTGAAATGAATTTGAATTTTTTTTTACCATCTATATATAATATTTTACATATAAATAAAAGAAAGTGATCAATCCATTAGCTTACCCTTTAAGAAATTAACAATATAATTTGAAGAAATAATTAAGATAAAGAGTGCTCATAATGAGATGAGATTTTTAAGTTTTAAGTTAATTTAAAGTTTGATAATAATCCTAAATATCATTTTGAGGTGTTCTAAATCAAATCTAAGCAATAGATTTGAGTTTGGAAGGATTTTTTCAATGATTATAAAATAATACTATTTTGAATAACTCTAAAACCATTTGACAATGAACACTCAATCACCCTTGCAGTAGCTGGTGCTCGAACCCATGATCTTTAGGAATAACAATGATTCCTTCAACTACTAAAGTAAGTTGGTTCGTTCTCATTGTGTTAATTAGAAACTTAGGAATAGGTTATTTCTCTGTTCTAAGTTCCCTAGTAAGTGTTTCTCACATCTTTACCTTAAAGCGGTTTATTATGATCAATGAGTAAGTGATGCATGAGTACATGATTGAGTTTTAAGCATGGTAATATGTTTTGGCTACTATTTTAATGTACAAAACATGATGCGAGTATGCCATGTTTTCAAAAAAACCCAATAGTGACACCAAAGAGTGAAATAGTGGCACATAAGTGCACATATATGATCATGTGCATTGTAAATACATATGTATGAGTAAATGTTGATATATTAGTATACTGATTCACTTGAGACCTTTGGATATATTTTGCATGTCATAGGATTGAGTGTACTCCATATGTGATACGTGTTTTGATATATGTCGAAGAGATAGGAGAATATTTATGTTTTAGCTCCATTCATGGTACATGTTTGGTGTGTTGAGGATGTTAGCATTGTTACACTTTGATAGGGAAGTGATTAAATTTTGAGCACATACAAAGACAATGTAAGGAGATTAGTATATCTGATGACTTGTGCTTACATAATGACTCATATGATCGAAAGTGTCAATATATTAAAGTTTTTTTATAAGCTAAGATGATTACAAAGTAATATTGATTTTAAATACTCTCAACTATTTGACAATAAACGCTCGATCACCCTTGCAGTTTCTAATACTCGAACCCATGAACTCTAGAAACAATGATTCTTTTAACTACTGAGATAAAATAGTTCGTGATAGATTTTAAATTTAGATTTTAAACTTTGGACATTATTTGGATAGATTTTTTGTTTGAGATTGAAGATGATGATGCATGCTTGGTGGGTGAGTTGTAGTAGACATGTTAATAATTATGACCAATTATGCTAAAAAGACTCTTTGGTACGTTGATTGTATGATTATTGCATGTATGAGTGTTTAATTGCTTGATTTGCATACTTTTGTATGCATTATGTCACATCGATGGGCTGAGAGGGCGCAAATGATGGTAGTGTCTCCCATAAAAATTTCAAAATTTTAAAATATTTTAGATGTTTTTTTATTGAAAATTTATTTTTACCTTTAAAATTTTATAAGTTCGTTATCTTTGAAAATTTTATAAATTCACTCCTAATATAAAATAATGTGTCGGTCGCTGCTTGGGTTTCAAAACCAGAGGGCGAGTTTCAAAACTGAAACGTGTTACTTCAATTTGAGTACCGAAGTTGGTAGAATGAGTTTCAAAACTGAAACACGAGTTTGGAATAAGGACTTCAACTTTAAGCTTGAAATATGTTTACTTTCTTTACAAAATGGTCCTAACTTTTCAAAGTACAATCAAATGTTGATTTTAACTCGAAATTACCGTTAATTTTGGTTGTATCTTTAAAATGGTCTTAATTTCATGTAAGAACTAATTAATTTGTACTAAAATTATTTTGTTTTTATATTTTACTACTTAATTTTTTTGTTTGTATTTTTCGTTGTTTTTGATGTCCCATGGAATTGATATTTTGTGTAGTTCTAATATAGTTGATTTTTAATACTCTGCCACTATTAATTTTATATTTTTAGCATGTTTTATGGATGTTTGAATGTGAAATGGTGAAAATTACCTCGTGTATAAAAATATTGTTTTTCTCAGTTTTTGAGTATGTCCTACGTTTATTTCTTGCATGTTGATTGCAATTTGTTCTACTATATGTTTAAAAGTTTTATGTTAATTAAAAAAATTATTTGTGTTTTAATAAACTCATAATATGTGAAAACGTACGTGGGTTACTTAAGTGATTAATATGATATACAATATTCGTGTCAGACCGTCTTCACTGAGTATTGGGTGTTACAATGACTGTAATGAAAACAAATTAAAATTTAGTAGTTGTGTTGTAAGTTTTAAAAGTTTAGTGACTAAAATGTAAGCATCTTAAAGTTTAGGGACCATTTGTATAGTTTACCCTTAATAAAATTGTATGAAAATTTAGCTATTATTAAAATTAGCATCAAACTTGATTTTATAAAAAACCAACCAAAATTAACAATATTTTCTATTTTTAATATATTTTATTTTTACAATTTCAAATATAAATTTTAGTTTTACATTATTTTTTAATATAAATTTATTATTTTTATGATTTCCATATTATTTGTTTTTATTATTATGTTAGATTGCATTGATAGGTAATTAGATATTGGCATGACAACTTTAGAATAAAAAATAAAATAAATTTATTTATTTCATTAACAAGTAGGTATAATTTCTTGGGTAAACTATAACATTGACCACTTAACTATTTAGCCCTTTTACTTTTACCATCGATCTCTCAATTTTGTCAATTAGACCACCAAACTATTTAATTATAGTCAATTAAGCAATTTGCTGTTAATTTTTAACAGAAGTGCTGACTTGATTGTTAACAAAATTGATATAATTCTATATTTGGTCCTCAATACTTTTAGAACTTATTAATTTGGTCCTAAATTTGATTTAATTTAATAAATTTAATCCTCTAATCAGATCGTGACATGTATCATTATCTCATTGGAGGACTAAATTTATTAAATTAAATATAAGACCAAATATAGAATTATACCAATTTTGTTAACCGATATGTCAACACTTTTGTTAAAAATTAATGACATGTGGCTTGATTGACTACAATTAAATAGTTAGGTAGTCTGATTGATAAAATTGAAAGAGCGATAGTAAAAGTAAAATGGCTAAATAGTTAAGTGGTCAATGGTATAATTTACCCTAGTTTTTTCTTACTACTTTTTAAAACATTAAGCAGACTATAAATCAATTGAAAAATAAAATTAAAAAAGATTGTGTGCTCCACCTCCCCTCCTATTGTTTCCCTTTAAATAGCCCTCCCTTGCTATCATTCTCATTCAAACAAATAATTTCCTCTCCCTCAAAAGTCACCACAAAAGCAGATTAAAGGCTGAAAAAATGGAACAAAATCTACCAGTGATAGCAAAAAGAGTATGGAGCATTGTAAGGGCTGTTCTCTTCATGGTGAAAAAAGGCATTTTATCTAAGCCAAAGTTCATGCTCCATCTCAACATGCTGCTCAAACGCGGCAAAATCGTCGGGGCCAAAGCCATTGCCAACCTCCTCATGTTCCACCACCACCAAGTCTCTCCGTCATCCTTCGCCGCCGCCCACGAGTACGAGTTCAGCTGCAGCAACACCCCGAATTACATCTTCCCTTTCAACCGCGCCACCAAGAAGAAACATGGCATTAACAACTACTACCACCACTTCTTCGCTTGCACACACGCGCCCCCTACTCACGACGACGATATCGCCACTGTCAAGACCGTCATCGAGATACTTAACAACGACAACAACAACGTAGGAGCTGCTGCTGTTGCTGCTTCCCCTATGTTACCGGGTTTCGGACAAACCCCTTTGGTGAGACAGCTTAGGATAACGGACTCTCCTTTCCCTTTAAGAGATGCTGATGAAGGCAATGGCACCGTTGATAAGGCTGCTGAAGATTTCATTAAAAGGTTTTACAAAGATTTGAAGCTGCAAAATAAAGGAATGCCTGACTTATGAGGGAAATATATCTATCATTTTCGAGTTAAATAGTCTGTGATTACAACATTTTCCGAGTTTATTAATAATTTTCATATTTTGGGTTTTAATTTTTGTTATTTGATAAAAAAAAACTACAAGAAAATCCATGCATTTTCAGTAATTCTTTCCATCTTTTTGTTACAAACTCTTTGTTGTGTAATGTCAAATACCTTTTTAAAGGTTTGGCATGTTAAGCATAAATGGAAAATCTTGGGATCTATGAGTTAATCCTTTTCTCTTTTTTTTAATTGATCTGGTATCTTATCTTATCTATGAGTTAATCTTACTTAAGGAATCTAGTATCCCATCCAGTAAATCCTTCTTCTCCCTTTGATTTTGTGCTTTTAACCTAAATTTAAGAGGGGCAATTAGGTGTTAAATTTTATTGAAACGTTGATTCAATATGGAAAATAGTTTAGCTTTTAAAGCCTGAATTGATGACAACCAATGAAACCTCATTTTAATGTCTTTATGATAGTGATACAATTCCACTATTGTTATATGAACCCTCCTCCAAAGAAAAAAGAAATAAATCAATCACTTTAGCTTTTCTTTTTTCTTTGGATTAATATGAAAATAAGTGTACAAATTATATACCTTTTGTTAAAGTGGTGACTAATTTTTTTCTCGTAAATTTAGGTGTCTAACGTTACAAACGTTATCACTTTAGTTGTCTCGTCCGTAACAAACGTTAAAAACCTCCGTTAAGTAGCATGTGTAATGTTTTGATAATTTTGAAAATTTTATTTAAAATACAAAAAATTAAAATTATATTTTAAAAACCAAAAATTTTGAAAAACTTTGAAAACTCTAATTTTAACCCTTAAATCTATGTTGTCCTTTGTTGAACCTCCACCCGACGATCAAAAGCCCCATGAAAACCCACTGGAACATGAGCCAATCAACAGTCAATCGACGCAACCCCCAACGAATTCTGATGTTACAAATCACGATCCCAACGGTCAATCGATGACAAAGATGATAACGTCTAACTAGGGAGATGGCAAGGACGACATTGACGGCGTTCACCGTGGCCGACAAGGATGACATCGGTGGGTTAGGGATTTGAGTTTTTTTGTAATTTAAGAGAACTTAGATTTTTTTGAATAATATTTTTTAAATAAAATTTTCAAATTATCAAAACATGACACATGTCACTTAACAAAGTCTTTTATTGGTCGTTACGGTCGGGACGCCTAAAGTGGTAATGTTTATAAAATTAGATATCTAGATCGACCGAAAAAAAGTTGACACCACTTTAATGAAAACGAACACTTAATTTTATATTAGTTCTTTCTCTTTTCGAATAAGCTACACTTGAGTTTTAGTCTTATTTATTTCGGAATTTGGATTCATAGTCACCACAATTCTCATTGAATTAGCTTTTGGTTGCAGTTGGCAATAAAGTTACAGTATAATAACTAGTATCCATTATAATGATCAATTAATTTAGATCCAACACTATAAAAGTTCAACGACTCTTCCAACTTAAATTACTTCATTATAGATAAATAAGGTTTTGAGTGTCGTAATTTACGTATTTTTAATCATATTAATATGTTTTTATATTTTTTGATTAACCATCGCTATTTGATCTATTAATGTATTATTTTGGATCGAGTTTTACAGAGACCTATTATAGGGTAGACACTCCCAAATCATCTTATTCCATTTGTAAAAATTAAGATTTAAACTTTTAATCTTACTTAAATAATATAATGTCTCGTAAAATTAAATCAACTTATTGATTGTTAAGATGTTTGTATATTAATAGTTGATATCTATTCATAGTTTTGTCCTATTTCATGCGAAATAAATAATGGTGAAATGAATGTTGAGAGGATAGTGATTTAGTAAAGTAAAATGGAGCCAGCTCATGTGTCAAATCAACTGACTTTTGCTTACTGTTTATTGGATAACGAGATGCGGGAATCACACATTCCTTGTAATTAAAATCAAAAGGCCATGCGTGCGATCGCATATATATATATATACATATACTATCTACTAGTTTCCTACTTTTCATCAAATTAATAATAAATGTTAAGCATGCGTGCCATATATATTATGTATGTGTATAATAGTCCGTAGATACATGACTATGTCAATGCCAGTCCATCGACAAATGTAAGATGTGATATGTTACAAGATCCTAAAATCTAGAGGCTCATACTTTAAAAAATATATTCATTTTATTTCTAAAAACGTTTGAATAATGACATTTTTTAAATAAAATGTCACGATCATATAATTGTTTTGTGATATTGTCTTAGTTTTATATGTTTGAAATTTTATTGTATTTTATAAGAAACAATCGTAATATAATAAATTTTGATATCTTATAATATTGTCTTATTATAAAATATTTTAAGAATCTCATTTTAAAATATATCATAGGACCTCCAAATCTATTGGGATAGGTATGCTCTGTCATACGTATAAAATTTATAATTTAAAAATATTTGTTTCCTTTTAGTGTATAAATTTGTTGTCATGTGTGCAATGTTGTATATAGAGCTTACAAATTTAAGTAATCAATAGTTGACTGTGAAAGTTGCATTACTCGGATAGAATGATGCAAGTATTTTTAAATAGGTAGTAGTTTTGCATACACTCGATGAACGAGTATCTATATTTGTTTCCAAGCATGTTGTGACTTTGTATCAGTAATATATTGGTCAATTTGTGATCATTACTTGTTTGTATTGTGATGATTAACCACAACGACACTATTATAAGAACTAACTAATTATACAACCTTAGCGGTGATCGAAAAAATAATACGAACACGTGATATTATATTATGACATTTAATCTTTGTGACATTATACTATCCATATACTCAATATATGATGCATATATACACAATATTTGTTTGATATTCATAATCTATAAGTATTCTAATTATGCGCGAGATTGTGCCTTCAATATGACTTGTGGAAGTTATAAAGAAATTTGTTATGATTCATACTTTAAGATACAATTATGATATGCTCCTTTATGTTCGTTCGTGTATCATCTAGCATACGTGATAGATCAAATATACCTTATGACAACTTGCATATATTACGATTTGCATGATTATATTTTGAAACTATACAAGTTCGACGTTCAGAATTATTTTCCTGTGCATGTTAGTTGATTTGAGTTTGATTCAAAGGAGCACCATCTGCGAGGGATTCCAACACGTCCATTAGAGTACAATATATTATTTCATCTTCAGTGGAGATATGCATTCATAGAAACTTATTATACTTTTGGTATGTAAACTGTTTTTTTTTTTTTTTTTGCTTTATACTTTGAAATTATTAGATGAATTCCGTATAAATATTTTTAAACTCGTATATGTTATGATCTTTATTCCTACTTTATCCTATTTACGAAAATAATTTGATATTTATGTACAAAATAAACTATTTTAAACAGTTACTCAGTTCGCTAACCCGATGCGGTACACATAGGTCCGTTAATTTTTTTTAAAATTAATGTATGGTTTTCTATAGATTATATCGTATATATGATGAAATTTTCAAAAGATTTATATAGATATGATAATTATGAACACGATTAAAGATGATTTTATTTTTCTCTTCACTACCTTTATATAAGGACTACTACAATATATTTAAAGAGACTTGTACTTCTGAGTAGCTTAAGGAGCTTTATTATGTTTAGCACTTATTCTTTTATTGTAAAATTTTGTGTGAGTGTATTTGTGAACTTTGTATGTTACTCTTATAGTGAGTGCTTAATTTATTAGTGAAAGATTACTTAAGGAAGAAAATAACTGAAAATATTGTATGAGCACGCATACAATTAGAGTGTAATTTTTTTAATTAATCTGAAGATTAATATAATACAATATATGTTTAAAGATAACTTTTAATCATTTGACACTGAATGTCACACCCTGAACCCAAGACCTAAAACACTCCTCCATCAAAACTACACCTATGGAGTTTATAAACAAAAAAGGGTACCGCTTTATTCCTCACAATCATTAATAAAGAAAATATGGAAGGGATTTCATTGGCTGTGGGATAGTTTAATAGAACAACAACTAATATATAAAATGTATATAGAAATTAACAAGGTGCTTCCAGGTTAAAACCACGAGCTTGGAACTGTCCAAGAAGCCGCTGAAAAATTAAAAGAGAAAAAGAGAGGCTTTAATTTGAGAACAGTTCAATTTCTTTCATGCTAAGCTTTCTCTCCCACTACCAAAAGGAGTTTTTTTTTAAACAACGCATTTAGTGTCTAAACTATCATTTTTTGTCTGTTTTAATACCTAAACTTTCATTTTTTTTCCAAAACTATACATAATGCTTAGTTTTTGTTTCATTTTAGTATCCCGCCGTTAAAAACTTAACGGACGGACGGGCTTACATGGCAGCTCCGGTGGACGGACGACTAATCTGAATGGTAGACCATGAGAGAATGATGAGTCGACCAACATAGTCCAATTTTAGGCCCATTGGACAGTGGATCATAGAGATCGAAGGATGAAGAAATCGGAGAGTTCACCATTGATTTGGGGAGATTGAAGCATTTATTGTTGAAATGGAGGGCGAAATCGCGTTTAAGGAGTCAAAAACATACGAGTTGGAAAGTTTGGGCTCATCGACTGACGAATGTGACAGTCAACAACTGTAGATGCAGCGGTCGGCGAGCTCGTCCTTTAAGTTTTTAATGGCGGGGTACTAAAATGAAACAAAAATTAAATGTTATGTATGATTTTGAAAAAAATGAAGGTTTAGATACTAAAACTAATAGTTTATGTACTAAACGTGTAATTTATCCTTTTTTTAATAACTTTATCAAAGCATGCTCTGCCATGTTATGTATGCCCAAATATGCATGCATGCACGTTCAAATACATAAGTGAATGTGCATGCTGAAATTTAACATATCTAATCTATTAACGCTCACAAGTTATCATGTAGCTGATGAATAAATAGTTTGCTGTTATTGCATGGAGAAATATTGTATAAATTTGAATTTGATAACGACATATA